CATGGCACCTGATCCCGTCTCTGATGTTATAGAGGTCTGTGCTTGCCCTGCTTCTTTTTGTATTGTTTTATGGACTTTGATATTGAAAACTGTCGTTATCTCCATATCCTTCATGTATAATTTGGAAGATATAGATCTTTCATCTGGGTAGGGGTGTCATTTTAACATCCAATACCTTTGAATTTCGACCCCGCCCCACTCTTTAAATCCCTTAAAATATACGGGCGCAAGAGGTATATTTTTCATTCTGTATTCTATTGACGCCTTATGGAAAGAAAAGCCTTTTTTTTCTAAGCATCAGGTTGAAAGTAAATCAAATTGTCAAGTAGTAGCTTTCTTTAATTCATTGTAACAAAGTGTAAAACAAAATGAATATTCGACTGCGTTATATATTTATATTATAGAAAGTCTTCAATTAATAATTTTGCTTTTACATAAAGGATGAGTTAGCTTGTCCATTAAATGGGCTTGTTTATATAATACCAATTTCTTGAATAACTTACAATGTCCCATTCGAAACACCTTTTTAAAGTATAGACATAGTGCTCTCTTTTACTATTAAAACGTGTCTTTGAGATTCCACCTATGCAATTGCATCAATTGCAATATGTATGCTCTAGGAAGGTAAAATTAAGTTTATTTTTACTTTTTTCAGCAATTCAAAGGGCCAAAAAGGCCACAAGTGAATCTTGATATTTGAATCCGTTCCCTCTTTCCAAAATTCCATGGAAAGGTTAGAAATGTAATAGCTTATATATATCTAAAACGATGGCCGAATCTTTTGTACATTAGGATGTTTTTATGTAATTGTAAGATGCAGCTGTAAACTTTGTTTTCATCACTGTTTACTCTTTATAATACTCAGAAATTCAAAAATATATGTCTGTACAAACTATATATACGATGCATCATTCCGTTACGTTGAATAATATTTAAACTTGCCTCGTTAGGAGGACAAACAGAAGTTGACGAACATGACGTCACGTCACTGTGTACTCCTTCGCAAACAACACAGGTTGAATTTGCATAAGTAACAGCTATATTTATTAAATAGAAAAATAATTTTGCATAGTTATCAAAAGCGCAAATTATGGAAGTAAATTTCTGCGTTAATTTGAAACTAAATATACATGTAAACCAAATTTCGAATATAATTGGATAGAAATTTGATTCAATAAGTATATCGCAGTTGTGATAGAATTACTTACGACCTATACCGCAAAGTTTGGCATTACACGGCCCATTATGGTCAGGGGCGTCACTACAACAACTAGTGCAGACCACTAAACGCCGTCTCCGTCTACCTTGACCACTACACACCTATAAAGAACTCAAAATTATTTTCTTCTTGTTAAATAGCTAGCTTTTAATTAAAAAAAGAATAGATTGCTTTATTCAGATTTATAAACAAATAATCTTATTAGGACTGGTCAGTCTATTTAGAAAAATGGCATAATTACGGTAATACTTTCAAAAGGCTGTAAAAGGCATGAAATTGCTATATTAAAAGCAAACAAACAAACAAACAAAAAACAAACAAACAAACAAAACAAACAAAAAAAAAAAAAAAAAAAAAATAACAACAAACAAACAAAAAGAAAAACTCGAAGCAAAAAGGTACATCGAATTATGAATCAACAATAATTATTACCATTCATATTCGATTTGATATATCTTAGTGAACTTGAAATTAAAGACACTATAGGACATTCTAAAATAATTTGTTTCATATTTGGATTTCTTACTGACGATAGATGATATTAAAGGGACATGGACACAGTTTAATTCAAAATTTCTAAAATCAATTTCAATGCTTATAATTTGCAACCAAGTTAATCTAACGATCATGCAGTAAAAATTTGTTAATTTACATTTACAAAGGAGATGCAGAACTTAAAATTCTTCATAATGTAAACAAGGCTAATATACAACCTTCTGTAATTGCATTACATAAAACTACCTACGAGGGTTGATAGAAAAGTAACGTCTCAGTGTCTTTATCTTTAATATTTGGCGTCATATTATCAAATTATATATACCAAAAGATGCATTAAAATAAATCTTATGGAAATTGAAAATTTAGTGTTGCCGCGTCAAAACTTAATGTCACGTTTCAAAGTGAATTTGTTTAGAATGAAAACAAACACACTAAAAAAGCATCCAAAAAGCGCCTAATCGCCCAATATTTTAAAATACAAAATTTACATTATCTAGTCCTGAAAAGAACTTTATGCGGTATTAACCAATATTTGCCCCCCCCCCCCCCCAAATCAAACTTTGATGGAGTAATATTTAATTAAGTCCTTAAACAGGGGAGTATATGCTGACTTCAAAGCACTGAATTATTTCATAAGTAATGACGTCATATGTACGTAATGACGTCACAAATATGACGTAAATTTCAGTTTTTTATGAATTATACAGAAAAATTTACATATTTCGTCGATATTTTGAATAAAAAAATGTGTGTTCAGGATAAATATTTTGATATAATGTGTAGAATCATAATATCAATGAAATATGTCAATATTGTTCCTGAACACACATGCGCTCTATAAATTCTAAAGCTAAAATTGTTGAAATTTTGTCCATTTTGTCCTCTTTCTGAAAAAGGATATAAAATCAGACTAGTTTGTGACGTCATAAAAACAAAAATTGTGAATACACTGCTTTGGAACTATAATATTTTCTGTTAATTGACATTTCTCGTACAATTTATTGAATTCAGCACATTTCAGAAAGTTTTCAAAATTTGACTTTTGTGGGGGCAAACATATGCAATATACCGCATATAGTTCTTTAAAGAAAGTTTTTTTAATCATTAACATTCATTGATGCTATCCTCTGATGCATTGGGAGAAGGTAATGTCGAAATGGGAAAAAAAGAGAAACGCAACAAGTTGAAATACGTTTTTGTTTCAAATTGTGAAATGGCCATTAGAATCAGTTACGATGATTATTCAAACTCACAGAGTAAAGAATGTAAATAAGAGACTTCTTTATATATGGTATGAGAGATTCTGGATGGGCTATGTGTCATTGAATGACCATATAAAGGACAGGAAGACCGAAAGATGTAAGGGCGGACTGACACGTTAATGGTATCTAACGTTGTCGTGTCACGGTTTTATATAATTTACATTCAGTGTAATTTTTTTTTATGAAATCCATTAGAACCCACGACGTTCAAATCTCTAACACACGCGAAACCTTGTCACCGCGCGTTAGAATACACAGTAGGAACTATATTCATTTTCAATACTCTAGAAACACCAACAATGTACACTGTTGTGACAATTTAATAAAAAAGTTAAACCTGTTAAATTAACGTAAAAATACAAAAAGGTGCGTTTAAGGGCAGATGATATAAACAAAATATGGATGTCTGGATTGATATACATGTATATTGTTTGGCCTAATTTCATTGCAAATGATGCAAAGAACACATTTCTAGAATATAAAGAAATTGTTAACCTTCTCTGATGTTCAAAATTCTACCATTCAGAAACCATCCTTATTAATCTATACAAATATTTTTCACTTCAAATCACTATTTTGTGAAACTTTGAATATAAAAATGTAAACTATGCGGTAATCCTTATTTCAATATACTTATTTAAACACGGTCCAAATTGTTATTTTCAAAATTTTTAAAAAGTTTGTATCATCTGTCCTTAAAATTAGTTTGTCACTTTTTTTCCCTCGCAATGTTCGTTTGCGTTATTTAACTTTACGATGTCACAAACGGCTTTTACGTCTATAAAAACGTCAGTTTTAAAGGGCGCTAAATTCACATTAAAGATTAACGAAATAAACAATTTTGAAGAGGGAAAACTAGAGAATGTAAATATAAGCATTGAATTCATATTTTTGGATGCCGTCGGTCCTATAACACACCTAGCCGTGCCCACAAATTATCAAACCGCGCTTTATGTAACTCACCTGATCCCACCTCTAATGTTTTAGAGGTCTGTGCACGTGTTTACTCTCCTCCCATTTTGTATTGTTCTATGGGCTTTGATATTGAATACTTTACCCTATCTCCATTTTCTTCAATTCAGTTTGTCGGCAAGGTCAGGTGTGTTACATGTATAGGTCCGACGAAATCCAAAAATATGAATTCAATGCTTACAAAAAAAACTTAACATGGCCTGGATACTGAGTATCTAAAACATAATCCTCCATCGTATTCATGTTCTTCTTCGCCTTATAACTAAAGTCCTGCTGGATACGTTATTACAGGTGACGTAAAAATAGTTAATAATGAGGATCTTCGATTATTTATTTTAAAAGGTCCTAATTACATGTATAGGGAACCCAGATCCTTCGACTGGCGTCGGAATTTCATAAATATTATAAATTCGTTGAAAATTACGCCAGACGATGTGCCAGATATGAAAAAGAAGACGTTGACACCTTGTCAGAATGGATTATTATTGTTTGCAGCTGGGTGTAAAGTTTCACGTTACGTCACGATCTTTTTCGTCAGATGCATCCAGCGTAAACAATTCACGTAATTTGTCAACTCAAATTATCAACATGGACATGGAAATAGTCTGTTGCACAAGCAACCAATCAGGGATAAGAAGAAAGTTCCAGTCGTAAAGCTTGCGGTTAGGAGGCGAGTACAATATACCTTGAGCGCAGCTGTCAACTAGATCGTGACGTAACGTGAAACTTTACACTAAGCTGCAAACAATAATAAATGTATCAGATCTATGTTAAACTCGCGTATTAAACAATTGAGGGGCAATATGAAAGCCATCTATCCTTTTGTGATCAATAATCCAGAAGTGAAAAAAGAATAAGATAGATTACATGACCAGTACGTGGTCCCTGCTGATAAAGCAGGTAACAATATTGTCTGTATAGAATAAAGTGCTGCTGATTTGAATAGAATTGTGTTTTAATAGATAATTTTTCAGGTAAATAAGCCAATGTCGAAATATGTTTGACTTTTACCAAATATTTTGTTTACTTATGAAATCATGCCCTTGATTTAAAGAAAGCAGCAGCACTTTTAAAGTTAAGAAAAATATCCTTTAAATATATTCAAAAAATTGTTAAGATCTATTCAGTGTATGCCCTTGCGACAGTACGATTTTATGAAGCATCTCGATGTAAAATATATGTAACCTGTACATAAAAACATGACATGATTAATACAATACATTCTTGTGATCGTTAATAAATAATCACACTAAACAAAGGATAAAGTTAACATTGGTATAAATCGACTATTTAAAACCTGTAAATAATATTTCGTTTAATAAGACGACGCATTTTTCATTGTTAAAAATTTCTCAAATGTATAGCTGCCTTTCACAGGACATGAAATACGTCATTTTTACCAAAAGGACGTCATGTTTACAAGTTCAACGCGATCAGTGCTTTGTTTTTAACCAGCTACATGGGATGTAATTAGAAGTTTTTTTAATACATTGATAAGTTTTATTGTTGTTTGAATGCTAATACAGTTAAAAGTTACAAATTATTTCATTTTTAGGTATTATGAGAAATACGTAAAAGTCATATTTTTGTTTGACGTCACAGTAAACTTTTCCCGTATAAATTAGGCCCCGCCTCCCTTTTCAAGCCTTAATAATGCTGCGCTGTAACTTCAACTGTGCTGCATAGGCCCAGTGGGTCTCGAGAAGAAGTCGAAAATATGAAAAACTTACAGACGTATGGAAAGACAGACAGCTAGACAGACAGACGACGGACAAAATTTGATTTAAAAAACTCACTGAATGTTTTCATTCTGTACACAATTTAACAGTGATTGCCTTATTTTTGTGCAAAGTTAAAGTTAACTACGGAATGATTCGTTGACTTAATCTATTCACGTCCCAGGGAGAAGAGGGGGTGGGGTGGGTGGGCAAAGTAAAAGAGAATATAATTCCAAACCTATACAAAAAACACTTGACAAGCAAAAGAAAAAAGAAATAAAAAAGAATAATAATAAAATGTGTCCGTTGTCTAAACGCGAAAATCCTATTTCGGGGTTGAAGGGCGGGGAGGAGTAGAATAGAACTTTTATCAGTTTCAATATTTTTTTTACAAACACTACCACTTATGTACACCCTTTTTGGGCTAAATTGCAACGAGACTGTTGAAAGTGAGGGGGGGGGGGGGGTTAAACCTACGCTCCAATATTCAATGACTTTGCAAAAAAAGTTGGGTTGGGGCTAATCCCCCCTAGCCCCCCCCCCCCCCCCCCCCCCCCGGTTCCGATGTCTATGACAGAAAAAAACATTTATAACAGATATCCACTTATCACTTGAAAATATCCAGGCAATAACTCATTTGAATCATAAGAAGGCTGTTGATTTGTATTTTATTCATTTACTTATATGACGCATCTTTATGAATTAGAAACTTTCAAAAAATCGTAAAACAACTTAGAACCATCAATTATTTACATATGTAATATAATAAATATGCAAACCTGTTTCGAACGACACCCTGCATCGTATCTGATCACCGAGTTTTCATCCACATATTTGTCTAAATAACAGTCCTAAATCAACGACATATATGCTGTTAAAATTACATTATCCTGTCTGAAATTCAAACATACTTCCAATAAATAATCTAATGATGAAAAATTAATATTCTCCAATCAAATTGCACATGCACGTCAGTGCGTCAAAGTCCTCTGACTACATTCAGTCAGACAAATACATGTACACATAAAACCAAAAGGATGCTGACAGGTTTTAAAATTCAACAATTAAAAATTTGCTTTTTATTATTTTTTTCTTTTCCAATTCGCTCCAACGCAGGTTAAAATGAATAGTTCCAAGCAGATTATTTTTAAGTTTCAATGTATTTTCTAATCACTCTTTATTTAATGTTTGAACAAATAATTTCGGCGAAATAAAATTAAAAATAAAAAGTTTTATAATGTGCAAAATATTGAATGATTCTCCATAAATGTAAAAGAGGAAATATAATGCTTAATTTTAACACAGGTAATTAAGTAATAGGCAACAATATTAAAATAGCAAATTGCTAAATTTAAGGTTTTTATATTAGACTTTTCTGATTACGAAAACTTCCACATTTTTCTGGAATATGTTTCAAAACAAGTTTCTACGCTATGAAATTTAATTTTCAATAGCTTTTTATTGATGCAGCGAAATTTTTCATAGAAAATTAAAAAATCATAACCAAGACCAAGCTTTAAAAATTCTTTGTTTGTAATAGCCGACCTATAACTTTTAGAGCGGGTAGGTAGGTTGGCATTCTTTCTTTTTTTTTAAATTAGTTTTTTTTAATTAGTTTTTAGATTTTTGTTAAATAACAAATAATAGAACTTTTCATATGCCTACTAAACATGAATAAGCTCCACTCTAGTTGTAAACCACTGATTGATAAAAACAAAAATCAGAAAGTATTAAATATATAACAGTTTCTATATCCTGGAAAATTGAAAGAAAAATAATAAAATAAGAATGCCTTAAAAAATAAGGTTAGGGTTGGGTCATTAGGTAACTGCAAACAAACAAATTTTTATTTTAGTCATAATAAAACAAGTACAGATTTTAGCTTAGTTGTACACCTTCAATAGCTATCACCAACTTAATTTTTTTTGTAGAGAAGAAAATCTATTCACCTCAAGGTCCCCGCATCTGACAGTATTTAAAAAACAATTTTCAATGTCTCCGGCTCCGTTACAATGCATGCAAGTTGGCCCCGCATGAATAAAACCTGTTGATTAAAATAGGATATTGGTCAAAACATATGCCATTACTCATCATGTTTTAAGATTTCAAATGCAGAGACTTCTATCAAAGAACATTTTTATACTGACACGCAAAAGAAACGCAACACCCTACTTTAGGGGGAAATAATTATGTAAAGTAAAGAATTTTGTATCTAAAAATTATGGATATCTTCAATTTGGTAAATATCGGTAATTTAACGGTTGAACGATTTTCGTACCTTATCAGAAGTCAACTTTGAGTCTGCTTAACAGAAATAAAAAATTGCCTGTTTAACAAAACATTTGGCAATAACATGGAGTTTTAAGGGTTTGTACTGTTCATCTTAAGTAATGCAGCAATAGTTTTAATAGATACAATCTCCTTTCGTTTCCCGTAACGATGCTAAGGCTTCTCGAAAATGGCTTAAGTACGCATTTCCATTCCAAAGTTGATGATGCAAAAATACATTTTATGTATTCTTATGCTTATATGCAAGCTCACCGCAGCTTGTTTTTGCTAATTTTGTATAAGTCAAATAAAACACTTTCATAGAGATGATTAATGTCATTTATTAAAATGACGGTATAAATGTGAACAGTTTAACAAACAAGAAGGGGATCAGATTCACAAGCTTTGATTAGCAGTTACGTAAAATATGATAACGTCTGATCCCCCAAAACTGACTAGAAAAAAGTATCTGTAAGACAAGACAATCAAAACATCATATGATAAAGTTAGCAAAAAGATGGCACATAAAAACAAAATAGGCCTAGCCCAAGGATAATAGTGAAACAAAATACATAAAAACAGTATAAACAAATCGAGTCAGAACTAATGAAGCATATGATTTTGCATGACACACTAACACCTATTTTAAGGGGTAGGAAGGCAGGGGTGGAGGGGGGTCTTCAAAATAGACGTGCCTCTAATTTTAGCGTGGTCAGCAGGCGGGTTATCACAATACAACTGAATGACTCGCTGAGCTGACCACGTGACCTTACACCTTCTATCACACGTAATCCATCAACCAAGGCGTGCATCTAAGAATTCTCAACGGGGTCTTATGTATCATATGCATAAAAGACAGTCCTTGGACCGGATGTTCAAATGTTACTAAAATGTGCTAAGTTAGAGAAAATGCGACCTAATCATCTGAAAAACAGGCATTTAAAAATGGCAAAGAATAATTCCTTCGCTCAAATCTCTATATTGATTAACGTATTGTATCGAAGAAATTAAGCTGCAATTGTTGTTTAGGGCAGTCTTGCATGTTGTAATTTAATGGCTGGGAGGGGGTGTTTTAACAGTCATATGTTACTTAGTAAAGTTAAAAGATAAACATTTAACATTTTTATCAAATCTCTCATGTTCTGAAAAGTTTTTTTAGCCTTACTACATCCATTTTTGGAAATCATTAGATAAAAAATTCAAACATTTTTTTGAGTACTGCTTGTTGCGTTTCTTTTGCGTGTCAGTATATAAAAAACTTACCATAAAGGATGAAAAACGTGCAAGTGGCAAGTACTAGAAATATTAAATAAAATTAATTATAACAAGGTAAATGTTAGCATCTAAGAAAAGATTCTTAATATTACTAGAATTAATATCGGCTATAAAAAAACGGTATGAAACATTAAATAACTAGTCTTTATGAATTACAAACAAACTGCGTATGAATACATTGAACTTAATAATACCAGTGATTGTATATCAGTGTACGAGGGTGTGTTATTGAACACAGTATTTGATTTTACGAATAGCTTGTATGCATTCGTAAAAATAAAAGATAATTACAGAACTGAGGGATACCACAATTTACATGCCTTTTCTTCCTTCTATTGTTATTTTGATTCGATTCATTTTCAAAACTATTTGAGAATTGTATCTTAGAATGTTGACCATAAACTCAAATTCTATTTTAATGCTATCAAATGAATACTGAATTATAAAGACAACCTGCCTAGGGCGTTGAAGCTTTGGCTATAGTCATCGTAGGTCCTTTAAACAAGTAATTCTCAAAGTAAGTGTTAAAATAGTGGTTGGCCCTCTTGAAATATCATTGTTTGTTGAAATTTACTAAGCTGGTTGCAAAGGCAATCTGTAAGTCTTGCTCTTCCCATAAATAATTCTAGTTGAATTTCATTAAAGCATAAAGGGATTTAATTCATTCAGCATTGCCAAAGATTTTATTTGTTTAAAAATCATTTTGTGATTTCTTAAAAATTTAATTACATCTTTTAAAAAATTGATTTTTTTAGACCCGTAAATTGTTTTAGAAACATATATGTTTTTTAATATCAAAAATGGAATCTGTATGCAGCTTTCAACTTAAATTCAATGATACTCTGATAAGAGAGATAACTCTAAATGACATAAATGTCTATTATTGCTTTATAGATTTGCTAAGTTGAAGTATCTTTTTTTGTCCAATTTTGCCCCACAAGCTATGCTATAATTGTTTGTATTTAACTTATAAAATACTTTTCTTTTGGAAAATTATTAAGGTTCAAGCAACATTTTATATGCATGAGCAGAGGGTTTATGACCATTACATGAAACGATCCTCAATGTTGAATAATTTAACTTATAATCAATTATATCTTAACAATCCTAAACTGAAAACTCATCTTTTCTAGTTACAAATTCTTTCGTTCACAAATTTATCCAAATAATCAGGCCAGAAAACGAAACTGATTTCTGTAATTTATCAATACTTACTTGTCTTCATATTTCCTTACTTTTAATTTTAAGACCAATACTTATCTTTCGTTACAAATTTAAGACACTGTACATGTATTATTATGCAACTGACATGTAATGTCAGCGGAGTTCAAGTTTGAATATCTATCTTATGCGAATAACTGTTACAGTGGCCTAAAAATTGAAATGAAACGCGTCAGCAAAAATTCAGCCTTAATTATGGTTTTTTGATAAGAGTATTATCATAACGACCACATAGTTAACGATATATTGACTTTTTACAAGGTTGATAAAATCCCTTTAACATCAGCTTAGATGTCTGTAGACTGTCTGGACTTTTAAAGTCCATTGTATTTAAGTATGCTCTTGAATAAAAAAAAAAGGTAAAATTCGTAAAGAGGATATAACTTTATTTAAACAGGAAAGTTGACGCTCATAAAAGTGATCTCGTAGAACGAGAAGTTCCATAAATTGGTTATTAAAAATACGCAAACTGTGCATTAATGTTCTCTCTACAACCATTTGTTGAGAAAATGTCTTAATTTTGCACTTTTAAATGATAATTTCAAGTTCAAAACAATGTATCGTTGTTTTCAAAAAGAGTGTAAAGAACCATGAAAGTAGTTCATGGATAGCAGCACGTGGTCTATTTTTAGTACAGAATTTTGTTTATCAGACCTCTTCTTAATATGGAGGGACATAACAATCTCTAAATGTAGAAGAGAATTACAGTTGCAAAATATTTCAAATAATATGAACACTTTTAAAAGAGGAAATGTGTTATAGTGTTTCTTTAAGTTATTTATTATTTAGTATTATTATTGTACAGTTGTTAAATAGTGTACGTATTGATATAAAAAAAAATCTTAAACTCTTTGATTCCAGGTAAGGAAAAATGAGCACAATCAAAGTTAAAAATTAAGAGTTTGTAAGTTTGCCACAGATAACTTATAATATCTATCAAAAGTTTAATTATCACCATTGAAACACAAAGAAATTAAACACATAAAATCGATATGAATGACCGTGTTTTAGTACCTACCAGTAAGAGGGGTGATCAAAAAATTCGCGAACTATCTCGATACATGTGTATCTATAAAAAAAAATCAGATTAGAAACAAATTTGGTGCAGACATAGTCAAACACAAGTTCTGTAAATAGCATATGCTGAATAGAGTTTTGCTCACAATGTGAAAATGACGTCATTATGCAGCTACTTGTCACGAAAAATGGTTGTCTCAGTGGAACTCGTTCAACAAACGACTAAAATATTAATGGTATATCTTAAAAATGCCTTTGAAGTAGCGTATAAGAATTTGTTCACAGTATATTAATACAAATGACTTCCTATAAATTCAATCAATGATTGGATAGTTCGTTTTAGTGAAGGAAGGCAGATGGTTAATATGATACTTGTTATGTTGCCCGGTGAAAGCAAGTGTGAAAAGGGATGTGTTTTTATTTAAGCAATATGCTATCAAAGACCTCCAATTTACACTTTGAAAAATACTTAAATATTTCAACAATAATACAACTATCAAATGCCTAAAATATCGTTTGCCTGCTTTTGATCACCCCTCGTATACAATTTCATTACAGCGGAGCAACATTGGAAAATGAATGAAATCATTCAGCGTGGGTTAGAGGATTTAATGAATAAAAAAAACTTTTTTTCTATTTGCCCGTTTTGTCAAAATTACAATTTAACAGAGTAAAAAAAATCAACATAATTAAATATTTTATACCATCTTTAAAATGACGTTTGATGGTCCTCCCAACTCAGGGAAAAATTATTGGGTCGGTATTTATAGGTGAGAAAAAAATTCCTTAAAATTTAAACATTTGTTGACGGAAGAAAAAAAAAATCGTGTAATGGTATGTAAAAAAAAAATTGAGTCGGGTCATTTCTAGACAGTAGATCGGGAGAGGGGGCAACCAAATATTTTTATAACAAATGGTCTCATAAGGCTAGTACATGTTCCATCACATATTTAGTAATGCAAACTTTTTGAATCTTTGGAATCTTTTGAAAAACAAACATAGGATTTTTTTGGGAGGGGGGGGGGCCATAGCCTCTCACTGTTTCATTTGCGATGATAGACATAGCATATGCAATGGACCTTTCTTTGCAAACATTGTTCTTGCTTTTAAATTTCAAAGAAACAGCTTCGCGAGAGCTTACAACGTTGATAACATAATGAGACATGATGCTTTTTTATGTCCAAACATTACTCCATACAATGTGTGGGTCATTGCAAACAATCTAGCTATTTATGTGAGGTGCCTGAAGGAAATCTTATAACTGCCTATTTTTCTGTCTAACTGCTGAACAAAATAAACATATGTACCAACTTTTCGAATGTAAGACATGTAATTACAATTTGTTTTTCATGCACTGCATATTGTTTAACTTTTTCAAATTAAATGCTAAGCATCCTCCTTGCAGTGCCCCATTTGAAAATAACTTCTATCGCCACAGAAAAAAGACCCGACGTAAACACATATGTTTAGGACATTTTTTATCTTTTTTCTTGAGTTTTAAAGAAATCAACAAATTATCAAGACTTGTTCCATGAAAAATTAAATATAATCATGGTAATAGACGCATCTATCCACAGCAGATATATGCACAGGCCAAGCACGTGCTGAGTGGAATAATATTAACAAGGAAATTCGAGCTGTAAACAGAACAGTTTTTCCCGATTTGCTGGAGTGGGGTTAAAATCGCGTTTTTTCATTATTCAGTCGATGCGATGCAACAAATAACAGTCGTAAGTAATATAACATAATGATTATTACTTCGTAATTTCTTGTCTTGATGTTATTATGGTCGCATTTATTCTAAAATCAATGTTGTTCGAACTCTGTGTGACAGAGGAATGGCGGACGAAATAAACACATGGCCTCAGGAAGACACCCATATGAAAAATCAAATTTTCAAGAATTATGGATAATGACAAGAAAAAAGCGAAACAAATGGTTGTAGCCATATTATCAATGAATCAAACTAACTCCATTTTCAATGCATTTTTCATCTCGTGAATGCTGTAACTGCGCAATTCTAGCATGATTAATTTCCTCCTAATTAAAACAAAATAAACTTAATTATTTACTAATTTTGGTCTCTAACAGTAGGTTATTAGTGCATTAACACTTTGAGTAACTTTGGGCTAGTGTAGTAGTGTATTAAGTGCATTCTTGGTATTTCTTATTTTACACCAGACTTGATCCAGTATGGCTTGTACATCCCCCTTAAGTACCTCTGCGTAGAATAATTTTTACGGAAGTTATTTTGTTGGAGACAAACACAAGAATAAAATAAAATGGTGTAGTTCCACTTTTATCATAAGGTACTTAACAAATAATATATTAAGTGTATTTACACAGCTCCGTATACTTTCGAACGTCATTGCACAAATTAAGACACAATTTACTTGTAATAAAAATTTACATTTTTGAAGTTCATTTCAACGACAAAGCCCTTATTTGTTCATGTATTAGATGTAATAAAGAGCGATTTATCTTATATACATTTACTACAGATTTAGTCTGTCAATTTGGCGTCCGATTGAAATGTTGAAAATTACCCGAACTGCAATAATTTATTTCATGTTTCGTCCTTACGGTTTTCCAAATAATTTAATAAAGCTTGTATTTCAGATGGACTGCACCTCATATAATACCATTCTTTTTATAGCTCGCCTATAAGTCGGGCACAGAGTTTTGGACCAAGATTCGACTCCCAAAACACCGACTTATAGGCGAGGACAAATCACTAAATTTGCCTCTCGCTAAAATTTCCACATATATGGTACTTT